AACTGAATTTGTATATGGAACCATGCGTACAGCATGACAATTACTTGCTATTCGTCGGTTTACAACACACATAACACGGTCCAACAATTTTAGGCACCACTTTTGCGAGTTATGTAGTACAATAATGTTTTATTAAAATCTATTTCAATTTGTTTTCACCATTTTCCCTATTGACAGTCGTTGTTACGTGCGTCACTAGGTAATTAGTACGGATTGACCTTGTTTATTGTTTCTATACTTTGAGGATTTCTGTGACAACTGGCGGACGTAATTCAAACTCCTTCCGCACTGACACCGCATCAAATATATTTGTGTACCGATTACATAACTCTAATGGACAGGGTGGGGTGATAGTTCACCGGACGACACTGTGTATATTGGGCGGCTCCTTTGATATCTCCTCCAAACATACGTTTAAAGAATGACCCCATTAAACGATGATACACATCTCGATGAATATATCAAGGCACTAATTCATCTTTCATAAACATTTTTTTGTCTTTGTGCTTAATATATCCACATATCAACGAACATTTGTAAAACATGTATCCTAAAAAAAATAAACATTTTCAGGCTAGGTATTTGCCCACAGCAACACCTGCATAACTGTTTATTCACGCGTGGTGTGGTAGATCGTAATTGACCGAGAGCAGGTATTGTAGAATCACCTGTAAATAAGGCCGACACTGTAATTAGATACAACGTACTAATGAGAATTGTCATAAGAAGGCTGTTGTTTTTTCTGAACTGTTACCATTTTCATACCAAAAGTGACAATGCAGTTAAAAGTTGCTTTAGTGTCACAATATTCACTCACGTTTTCCTCAATCGCATTGAAACATAATTCCCACTGGTCAGTTCGAAACAGCATGTAATTAAATAATTATTTCGAGATTTCGTTAGAATGTAAGATATTCAGCCAAACGTTATGCAATAAAAGACGAATAGTTTTTTTCATTAAAATACGCGCACGCGTACCTGTATATTGCATACCTGGTGTCACGTAATTGCCCAGTGTGATGTATCAACGGGACATTAAATGGGAAATGAAATAGAAACTAACTAAAATTTAATGTTGTGGAAAATAACTCCAATGAATTGGAGTACACGCACATGAATTCGTATGATAAACTGTCAAAACGTTTTGAGAGGCAAGGCCGGGTTCATTAAAGATCGCTACAATATGTAAAACAGGTGAAATTTGTAGAACTAAAGGAAACATCCAACCAAATGCCCTTTTTAAATAGTAATGTAATGATATAATATAAAGCATATTTCACATGATACAATATACTTTGCAAACAGTTAGTTGATGCTTGAAAGGGACTGACGAAAACATGGGCGAAATATTTTAATAACGCCGTAAAATAGTTGAATTAAGTAAAAATTAGTTAAATTTTGTGTCATGATACTTGAATAAATACATTTAATGTATTTGCGAAACAAAAACATGAGTTTTGAGTAAAGGAACATATACTCGCCCATGGGCCAAACCTTTTTCTCGCCCATGGGCGAAATATTTCAATATCGCTATAAAATCGTTGAATTAAGTTAAAATGAGTTAAATTTTGTGTCATGATACTTGAATGAATACATTAAATGTATTTGCGAAACAAAAACATGAGTTTTAAGTAAAGGAACATATTCTCGCCCATGGGCCTGCCCATGGGCCTACCCATGGGCCAGACTTCGCCCATGGGCAGGCCCATGGGCCACACTTCGCCCATGGGCAGGCCCATGGGCGACATAGTCTAAATATTGAGTTTTTAAACAATTTTTTTTTCATTTTTTCTTCCTTGGTATGTTCCCATGAAAACGGCATGTTTAATTTTGTAAATACCTTTAACCGAGACTGGGCAAAGAGCGTAGAGTTTCTGGACTTTTGGGTTTCCAGAATTCAAATGGGACGTGTTAATATCATGTGTCTACTCTTTATAGTCGTTTTCTGTGCTCTGTAGTTCACAGACCGTCACTATGTCCAACTCTTTTTTTATAAAAAAAGGGATGTACTGTTATCGTACTGCATTATGCCATCAACGGCTGTCATGATGTTAACGTATTAGAGTAATCTCCCTTGGCGACCTAGCCGTCGGGACCCCCTGTCTTACCGGATGTACCACCCGTGTATGTATGACAATAAATACAGGAGGCAGCAACAGCCTAGGGCTAATTCAAGTGCTACAAATCATTCTTAAAGCGTAAGAATATTACAGTGTCCTGAACCATTTGTACCGGTAGTGGACGAGACGCAGCACGTCGGACCCATGTGTCCTGAACCAGTTGCACAGGTAGTGTGTCCTGATCCAGTTGCACAGGTAGTGGACGAGACGCAGCACGACGGACCGCTGTGTCCATGGCCCTGGTTGGTCATCTCAAGCCTTTAGACTGTCTTCCATATGACATGTGTCGAGTGGAAGAAACATCCATTGGGAACAGTATCAGGATTTATTACTTGCCCGTGAAGAGATCACCCTTTTGATAAACATACAGCTGTATTACACATTGTGTAATACCAAAGCGCGTGTTAATGTACTGCGGGAACAGGTAACACATATTGAAAACTCTCAACATCCCTTTGTTTATTCAACGACATTGCGCATTGAGAGATGATAGATCACTGAAAGGAGCTTATGCACACTCTATGACCCAGCAACCCTGTTGTAGACTGACGTCACATGGCATTGTTTCGCCGGCGGATGTTGTAACAAAATTTCACAAATTACGTCATTGGGTATTGTGACGTGATTGTAAATTTTGTGGTGCAGGACTCCGTTCCACTAGGTGATCGTAGCGCCACGACACATGTACGTCTAGGTATATGGGAGTTGATAACCTAAGCGCTACGATAACTTTCTGGAAAGGAACCCTGAATTCTTAAGGTGAGCCGTTGCATGGTATTAAATTAATACGTGTCAACTTTTGACGTGTTTGAAGTATTGTTTTGTTAAACTCAATTGGATTATGCTGTGGCTCGCGTAGATGTCTGCCTATTTTCACACACGACATTGAAATTCTAAAAACAAAGTTTTATACGGCAAGTAATGAATAAAATACTAAACTCGCCCCCGTGTAGTACCAATTTAATGCAACTCGTGAATAGTTCTGGTATTATTCACTCGTTTTATAAAATTGGTATTACACGGGAGCTCGTTTAGTATTCTATATATCTCCAACGGCATTCATGGCGGCATCCTTAATATATCTGTGGATGACCTCAGAATCTAGAGTGAGGCCAGTCGTTGCTAGCACAGCCTCTGAAACAGACGCCCATTGGTTGTTTACTGAGTCTTGTATCCAGGATGTCGGCAGTAGTATAATTGTTGGGAGTAGTGCACTTTACCGGGCGCACTTTTTCAGATCCAATTAGCGCTGTGGGGGCTCGAAAGCGCTTCGCTGGCTCACCGGCTTGGCTAAATAAAGCGTTAATAAGCCGACGCTCTACCACTGGACCACGCGCGCTATCACATGTAATCAGTGCTCGTTTAACGGGTCATTAGCACCCCATTAACAAGCATGCGTAATTCAGTAAACAATGAATTGCGCATGCGTGTGACGTCACTGTCCGCTCTTCCATTAATCTTTTCTTGAAACCACACCCGCCATTGTTTATGTCAACATGACCGACCAATCGGATGAAGCGGATTAACGCTTGGAAAGGTAAGAAAGTATGGCTAACCCTTGCCCAAAGCAAGCGAACCCTAAGGACCAAAAAGGGGTAGTGGATCGTAAAGACGTGTAAGTTCCCCTAAGACCGAAAACGGGCGTCGGATCATAAAGACGTGTAAGTTTCCCTGAGACCGAAAACGGGTGTTGGATCATGAACTTAGAGTCACCGGAGCGTGAGGCACGGTAACGGTATAGCGAGTGTGGTAGCACTGTGGCACGGTAATTGAGTGGATGGTAGAGAATGGGCTGCGCCCGGTAAACTGCATTGTTGCCAAAAAGTATTGCAGAGCTGTGAATGCTCTCCACGGAGTTGACACTGCACTTATAACGGCTAGCATGGGACTTGGCATAGCTTGTGTTGGTTTATTATCAACTATAATCGCGGCTCCTGTCGTACTTGGCATGGGAATAGCGGCCGGAGTATCTGGACTGGCGGGAATAGCGATAACATATATTCAAAATAAATAAATGTTCAAAATAATGGTTTGCATATGAGTAAAAATAATAGAGAATATTTTCAATATAATTTAGTATAGAGTCATGATGATCGTTGGAATGGCTACAGGTGGTGGTGAGCTAGAACCCTTTTAATTAGAATTTAGCTTAGTCTCATGACGATCGTTGAATCGCATCGCGGTTTTTGCATAGAAAATTACCTCCGTAGTATAAGTATTGGGGTATAAATCTGACTCCAGTGGAAGTGAGCTAGAACTCCCATTGCCTATACTACTAAAGGGTTTTGCCGTTTTTATTTATATATAGACAATCTGTCAATTGACTTCATACGGTGGATAATGCTATCAGTTGTTGGATAGTCTGTATAGTATGAATGTATACTTAGGTAGAAGTACAAGAACAACAATAGTAGTCAGGTAAGAACAACATGAATATAATACTTTGGTAGAAGTACAAGAACAACATGAATATAAGGCTTAGGTAGAAGTACAAGAACAACAACAGTCTCGGATGCGTTCTCCGGATTCTGGTTTTACTGAGGTAACCGATTCCATGAATAAGAAGATAAACCGCCTGTTTTCTCTCATTTGACTTAGTCTAACTGTAGATTAGATACCTCTTATTTTAATTTGGATCCGAGCGCCTTAGCACGAGTCTTTAAATGTATAAGTAATCCAGCATAACCAACAAGGACCATTCAATAGGAAATCAACATTTCATTTGTGTTAGGGTACAAATCGTTAAGACGTGTTGATGAACTAAACGCATATTCGCTGCAGTCGGTGTGAGGAGCGAGGAACTTGCAAAGTTATCTCAAAGTAAACAGGTAACAGAAAACTCCGTATTCAAAGTTAGGAACTAGGCATAGCTTGTTGAAGGTACTGCAACGTTGACTAAAGAAGATCCAAGCTCAGAAGGAAACTCCACCAAGACATCGTGTACGTCATCATGGCCGTGAACATTCCCGGACTCATCTCCGTCATCGTGTTCTACATCCTCATCCTCGTCATCGGAATCATCGCCGCCAGGAAAAGCAGAAACAGCAGTGCTGAAAACTCGTTCGTGGCCAATAGAAGCATCGGACTATGGCTGTCTTTTTTTACAATTACTGGTAAGTACAAAAGCTAATTACTATCTTCCTGCATGTAGATAGAACTGTTTCCATGTCGATCGATTTTTGTTTGTTTATTGTTTAACGCCGCACTCAGCAATATTCCAGCTATATGACGGCGGTCTGTTAATAATCGAGTCTGAACCAGACAATCCAGTGGTCGACATCATGAACATTGATCCAAGCACTTTGGATACGATGACACGCATCAACCAAGTCAGCGAGCCTGACCATCCGATCCCGTTAGTCGCCTCTTACGACTAGCAAAGTCGACTTTTATAGCAAGCCTGGGTTGCTGAAGGCCTATTCATCCCAGGATCTTCACGGGTCCGATGGTCCCAAGTACGACTGTTACCCTGAGAGTTACATTACGTACTACTGTCATGAGGACAATAGCTTCTGATTGATGTTGATCTTCCTAACGACAACCTGCACTCATTCCTTTTCATATAGGATTGTTTAGGTTGTTATGTTTGTTTGTTGTTTAACACCACACTCTGCAATATTCCAGCTATATGTCGGTGATCTGGTGTCTGGACCAGGCAATCCAGTTATTGGCATCATGAGCATCAATCAACGCAACTAGGATGCGATAACATTCATCAACCAAGTCAGCGAGAACATTTCCGAACTACTATTACCTTAAAAGTTATGCTAAAACATTTTACACGACTGAAACGTGTGTGACCTATTATTACTTTGACAGCCACATGTAGGTTCTACTGTTTCATGACTGATAGTATAGGTACTACTATTGTCATGACTGATACTGGTATTACCATGTAAAATAACATGAAAATACTATTTCCATCGTGACAATTGTAATTGTTCAGAAAGGTTCAATGTAAGCACTAGCTCGCAGAAAGCTCAGACATAAATATGTCTGAGCAACCACTAATGTGATATTGTGGGAGTGGAGGTGTGATTGTTTGGGAAATAATAACTTTTTTCACGAAAGTACTGGGACACACTTTATTGCCTCAGGTTTTACAAGAACGGCCAATTGTTCGCTGTGCAGTTTGAATGTTGTGAAAAAAGAAATAGTTCGGCTCCTTATTTCAGTACATAAATCACTTGTTTTGTGTTGATGTCAAGACTCAGAATGAAGCTATTCAAACATAATGACACTCAACCTGACGTTTCTCAGACTGATGTTAGAAACGAAGTTGTTCGCATGTCTGCATAAAACTGTTTGGTAAACATGTGCTATATGATTATAACGGATATTTATCTCTAATATAAAAGAATCAATGGTGATGAATGTTCACACTTCTACAGCCACCAATATCGGGGGAGGCTACATCAATGGTACAGCGGAAGCCATGGCATTCAGTGGCCTCATCTGGACCAATGCTCCCATTTTGTACTGCTTTTCCATCGTCATTGGTAAGGGGATTTTAATTTACAATACACAGTGATAATGTACGGCTATGTAATTTGATGAACTAATGAATGTTGTTTAACAGTCAGCATTATTATAGTTTTGTCGTGGCGCTTTGTAATAAATGACCTCCCTGTTTGACAAACCGGTGATTGATATTATATACACCATTTGAGGTAAATCAGTTACGACTCGAGCCTGACCACCGGATTTTGTGTTGTCGGTTCATATGCCACCTCCCCTGGACACCGAATAGGATGTAATTGTGCATCACTTAACATCACTACCTTAACATCGTTGATCCAGTGTAATGTCTGGCTCAGACATATCTTGTTTACAACCACACATTATGACGTATATAGATGCGAATGTTACAAATATATTTTACGGGCAGTACAATCATTAGGCTGTTTTAGAAAAAAATGAATAGCTTTTGTTTCATGCACAGTTGATGAGGTTGCAACATGTACGTTGTTCAAGATTGGTTATTTAAACTGTTTCACAAAACTCAACTGTGTACAAATAAATCCTCAGCTGGAGTTTTCTACGCGCCTAAAATGAGGAGAGGAGGATATATCACCATGTTCGACCCCATCCAGGCAAAGTTGGGAGATCGTGCCGGAAGTCTGCTCTTCTTCCCACACCTAATGGGAGATGTCTTCTGGACAGCCGCCATCTTGTCAGCCCTGGGTAAAACTGTGACAATTACAAGAGTGTATAATCATACCAGATTAATGGGTGGTTTTGGTGTTTACCGCAGGTTTTCAACAGCATTTGTCGATGCGCCATATTATTTGTGTCATTTTGTAAGGGTATTTTGAACATTGTTGTTCAGCTTTGGTTAAACTCTCGATCACTAGGGTGTTGATATCTGAGATATGAATACTATCAATGCTCAACAAAAAGAATTCGTATGTGTTTAAATAAATACAACGAGTTTATGTGATAACTTTCTTGCATTGACCCATCCATACAACGATGAAACCATGTCTAACTGAACTTAACCTATGTGTTACATCACAGGGTCCACCATGTCCCTTATCCTGGATCTGGACCCCGTCTTGTCCATCATCGTGTCCACTTGTGTGGCCGTGTTCTACACCTTCATTGGAGGACTGTACTCTGTGGCCTACACTGATGTCATCCAGCTCATTTGTCTTTGCGTGGGACTGGTAAGAAGATCACAATGCAATAGACACAAATGGTTGCTGACCAACATGAAACTGATATTGTTGAGCAACATTTCTTATGTATCATCATTGGTGAGACACCTTGGGTTTGTGGGGGTTCAAAGAGATGTCCCATAGGGAAATGTAGGACTACTCAGTGAACAGCACTATCTCTTCGGAGATATCGAAACAATGAAAAAGCACCGCAGTGTTTGCCAAAACGTCACAGTCAAACAGGTTAGTTACTCTTAACACTCAAGACCCTTAAGAAAGCAAGATCCGTGATGATATATCTGATATCAATAAACACTCGGGTGAGATTCGCTATGTTTGCTTACAGGCAACAGGGGTTTATCGTTCTGTTTGTGAGAGTAGCATTGTGGTGGGTTTCAAAACAATTTTAATCAGAAATTGACAGTTAATATTCGTTATCAATAAGTTGTAATTGAAATACACCCACCTCTACCTCATTTCTTTCATTTCCCATGTGTGTACAATGTATAAAGTAATTTCGATGTAGCACGATACAGCTGTGTTCAGTACATGATGTACTTTAAATTGATATTTTGTAGATCGTGGCATGTCCGTTTGCCTTCTTCCACCCATCTGTTGACCTCTCGCGAATCAAGGACACGTGGCTGGGTGAACTGCCCACAAACATGATTGGTTTATATGCAGACCTCTGTTGTCAGCTTGTCTTTGGAGGAATGTCATGGCAGGTATGCATCTCAAGTACAATAAAAACGACAGAACCCTTACAATATTTACAAGAAATCTTTGCTGAAACAATAGTCGATTGAACGATTCCGAATATGTCATAAGCATGTGTTTATGAATCGCCCACAAGTTCATTGTACTGTGGTAGCAGCCAATGCCATCTGTAAATATAACCTTTACAATGTGATAAGACGCTATATTATATGATATGGTAATAATCATTATATTGGGCATACCAAAGGTCTATCGAGATCAGTATATTGTATCTCTTTATCCAGTAAATGTGGACTTTGATTTATGCAGGTCTTTTACCAAAGAGTGTTGGCTTGCAAGACGCCCAGTATTGCCCCGACAAGTTCCATTGTCGCAGCGTTTTGTAGCTTTCTTCTCGCCATACCCCCAGCAGCTATCGGAGTAGTCGGGGCAGCAGCAGGTCAGGATAACAATGATATTTTGAAAATTCCGTCCAAGTGTCATCTCTGCACTGGGCCAAAAAGTACCAACGTATGAGTCATTAATATCAAATTGAATAAACATGACAATAATGTGGACCACTTTTTAGTTTCATCAACTGTTTCAAGTACTTTTCGTCCCCGAACACCGACCTCAACTGCGTTCATATTGTTTTCAGACTGGAATGCCACATCCTACACAGGCGATATCCCAATACCTACTGAATACCACAGTTTTATCCTTCCCATGGTGCTTAACTACCTGTGTCCACTTCCGGTGGCCGTGTTGGGACTTGGTGTGGTGGCTGCTGCTGTCATGTCATCTGCCGACTCTTCTGTCCTTTCAAGTGGAACACTGTTTGCAAAGAATATCTACAAAGATGTCCTACGTCCACAGGTGGGTTCGAAAATGCGTCTCTACCAAATTGAAATATCATGGTCACGTATTGTCAGAAATTAATGATATAACAAGAAACGGATGAGTTTGTTATTGCTGAATCAGGTTACTGAAGATTCCTGAGAATGCATTTTTACAAATATCACTATATTTATTATTGCTTTCTAATAGCTGATATGGGTATCATTTTTAGGCCAGTGACCGAGAAGTGATGTGGGTCTTGAGAGTTGGCATAGTGGTGACTGGTACGTTGTCGTGCATCATTGCCATCCTGGTGAAGTCAGTTTATGGACTGTACTACATGTGTACAGACCTCATGTACGTCATCCTCTTCCCCCAACTCACCTGCATTCTCTGGATCGGGTTCACCAACACCTACGGCGCGCTCACCGGCTACGCTCTCAGCCTCTTTCTGAGAGTGGCAGCTGGGGACACCCTGCTAGGAATACCAGCTCTTATTCAATTCCCCTTTTACACAGAAGCTTATGGCCAATTGTTCCCTTTCAAGACCCTAACGATGATAGTCAACTTTGTGGCCATCATATCTGTGTCAGCGTTCACAAGGCTTGTGTTCCGGCGAGGGTGGCTGTCAACCAGATGGGATGTGTTTAATGTGATGAAGAGAGAAGAGGACGCCAAGAGAGGTGAAGAACGAGGAGAAAGTCTGATGATGAAGGAGCGAGAGGGTAGTAACAGAGACCCTGGTTACGAACAGAATGAAAAGATGAAACTTAGGGATAGCCATTTTCAATAGCTCAAAATAATTACGTTATTGGTGTACTCCAACATTATTATGTGATAATTATAGTCGGAATCGTATACTCGAATCTGCAGAGATTTCTTGTGGCTGTGGAAAGGGTTTTGTTGCTTTTATTTAATGTACAATATCGTTAAGCTGTCGGCATTCCGAGAACCAACCAAGTGTTCATTGGGGTAAAATACGCTTTTTGCCAGGCATAAGTTCTCGAAATACCGGCAGCTTAATGGTACAACCGACACAGTGTACTCTCTGTGTTAATTGGTGAAATAAATGTTACTTTGCTACTTTCTACAAGGTGGTCGATCATTAATGTCCAACAGAAGCTCTTCACCGAAAGACATGAGCGTCTTTACAATTATCTAATCTAATCTGGTGGAGGTGATGTAGTCGTAGTGATGGTGGTGATGGTAAGAGTGGTGTTGGTGGTGGTGGTGGTGGTGGTGATGGAGGTGATGGTGGTGCTGGTGCTGGTGCTGGTGCTGTTGCTGTTGCTGGTGCTGGTGGTGCTGGTGGTGTTGCTGGTGATGGTGACCGTGGTGGTGATGGTGCTTGTGATGTGGTGGTGGTAGTGGTGGTGGTTTTGGCGGTGTTTCATGGTGGTGGTGATGGTGGTGGTGGTGATGGTGTTGTGATGGTGGTGGTTGTGGTGGTGGTGGTGATGGTGGTGGTGGTGATGGTGGTGGTGGTGGTGATAGTGATGGTGATGGTAGTGGTAATGGTAATGGTGATGGTGGTAGTGATGGTGGTGGTGATAGTGATGGTGATGGCGGTGGTTGTGATGGTGATGGTGATAGTGATGGTGATGGTGATAGTGATGGTGATGGTGATAGTGATGGTGGTGATGGTGGTTGTGATAGTGATGGCGGTGGTTGTGATAGTGATGGTGATGGTGATAGTGATGGTGATGGTAGTGGTAATGGTAATGGTGATGGTGATAGTGATGGTGATGGTGGTGGTAATGGTGATGGTGATAGTGATGGTGCTGGTAGTGGTAATGGTAATGGTGATGGTGATAGTGATGGTGGTGATGGCGGTGGTTGTGATAGTGATGGCGGTGGTTGTGATAGTGATGGTGCTGGTGATGGTGGTGGTAATGGTGATGGTGATAGTGATGGTGATGGTGGTGGTAATGGTGATGGTGATAGTGATGGTGCTGGTAGTGGTAATGGTAATGGTGGTTGTGGTAGTGATGGTGGTGGTGATAGTGATGGTGATGGCGGTGGTTGTGATGGTGATGGTGATGGTGATGGTGGTGGTAATGGTGATGGTGATAGTGATGGTGATGGTGGTGGTAATGGTGATGGTGATAGTGATGGTGCTGGTAGTGGTAATGGTAATGGTGATGGTGATAGTGATGGTGGTGGTGATAGTGATGGTGATGGCGGTGGTTGTGATGGTGATGGTGATGGTGATGGTGGTGGTAATGGTGATGGTGATAGTGATGGTGCTGGTAGTGGTAATGGTAATGGTGATGGTGGTAGTGATGGTGCTGGTGATAGTGATGGTGATGGCGGTGGTTGTGATGTTGATGGTGATGGTAATGGTAATGGTGATGGTGATAGTGATGGTGGTGGTGATAGTGATGGTGATGGTGATGGTAGTGGTTGTGATGGTGATGGTGATGGTGATGGTAATGGTAATGGTGGTGGTGATAGTGATGGTGCTGGTGATAGTGATGGTGATGGCGGTGGCTGTGATGGTGATGGTGATGGTGATGGTGATGGTGATGGTGATGGTGATGGTAGTGGTTGTGATGGTGATGGTGATGGTAGTGGTAATGGTGGTGGTGATAGTGATGGTGATGGTGATGGTAGTGGTTGTGATGGTGATGGTGATGGTAGTGGTAATGGTGGTGGTGATAGTGATGGTGATGGCGGTGGTTGTGATGGTGATGGTGATGGTGATGGTAATGGTGATAGTGATGGTGATGGCGGTGGTTGTGATAGTGATGGTGGTGGTGATAGTGATGGTGATGGCGGTGGTTGTGATAGTGATGGCGATGGCGGTGGTAGTGATGGTGGTGGTGGTGGTGATAGTGATGGTGATGGTGATAGTGATGGTGATGGCGGTGGTTGTGATGGTGGTAGTGATGGTGGTTGTGATAGTGATGGTGATGGCGGTGGTTGTGATGGTGGTGGTGATGGTGGTAGTGATGGTGGTGGTGATAGTGATGGTGATGGTGATGGTGATGGCGGTAGTTGTGATGGTGGTAGTGATGGTGGTTGTGATAGTGATGGTGATGGCGGTGGTTGTGATGGTTGTGGTGATGGTGGTAGTGATGGTGGTGGTGATAGTGATGGTGATGGTGATGGTGATGGTAATGGTGGTGGTGATAGTGATGGTGATGGCGGTGGTAGTGATGGTGGTGATAGTGATGGTGATGGTGGTGGTGATAGTGATGGTGGTGATGGTGATGGCGGTGGTAGTGATGGTGGTAGTGATGGTGATGGCGGTGGTAGTGATGGTGGTAGTGATGGTGGTGGTGATAGTGATGGTGGTGGTGATAGTGATGGTGATGGCGGTGGTTGTGATGGTGATGGTGATAGTGATGGTGGTGGTAGTGATGGTGGTGGTGATAGTGATGGTGGTGATGGTGATGGCGGTGGTAGTGATGGTGGTGGTGATGGTGATGGCGGTGGTGATGGTGATGGCGGTGGTGATGGTGATGGTGGTGGTGATGGTGATGGCGGTGGTGATGGTGATGGTGGTGGTGATGGTGGTGGTGATAGTGATGGTGGTGATGGTGATGGCGGTGGTAGTGATGGTGGTGGTGATGGTGATGGTGGTGGTGATGGTGATGGCGGTGGTGATGGTGATGGTGGTGGTGATGGTGGTGGTGATAGTGATGGTGGTGATGGTGATGGCGGTGGTTGTGATGGTGATGGTGATGGTGATGGTGATGGCGGTGGTTGTGATGGTGGTGGTGATGGTGATGGTGATGGTGATGGTAGTGATGGTGGTAGTGATGGTGGTGGTGATGGTGGTGGTGATGGTGATGGTGATGGTGATGGTGGTGGTGATAGTGATGGTGGTGGTGATAGTGATGGTGATGGCGGTGGTTGTGATGGTGATGGTGATGGTGATGGTGATGGCGGTGGTTGTGATGGTGGTGGTGATGGTGATGGTGATGGTGATGGTAGTGATGGTGGTAGTGATGGTGGTGGTGATGGTGATGGTGATGGCGGTGGTTGTGATGGTGATGGTGATAGTGATGGTGGTGATGGTGGTGGTGATGGTGATGGTGATGGTGATAGTGATGGTGGTGGTGATAGTGATGGTGGTGGTGATGGTGATGGTGATGGTGATGGTGATGGTGGTGGTGGTGGTGATAGTGATGGTGGTAGTGATGGTGGTGGTGATGGTGATGGTGATGGCGGTGGTTGTGATGGTGATGGTGATAGTGATGGTGGTGATGGTGGTGGTGATGGTGATGGTGATGGTGATAGTGATGGTGGTGGTGGTGGTGATGGTGGTGGTGATGGTGATGGTGATGGTGATGGTGGTGGTGATAGTGATGGTGGTGGTGATAGTGATGGTGATGGCGGTGGTTGTGATGGTGATGGTGATAGTGATGGTGGTGATGGTGGTGGTGATGGTGATGGTGATGGTGATGGTGATGGTGATGGTGATGGTGGTGGTGGTGGTGATGGTGATGGCGGTGGTTGTGATGGTGATGGTGATGGTGGTGGTGATGGTGGTGGTGATAGTGATGGTGGTGATGGTGATGGTGATGGTGGTGATAGTGATGGTGATGGTGGTGGTGATAGTGATGGTGGTGGTGATAGTGATGGTGATGGCGGTGGTTGTGATGGTGATGGTGGTGGTGATAGTGATGGTGATGGTGATAGTGATGGTGATGGCGGTGGTTGTGGTAGTGATGGTGGTGATGGTGGTGGTGATGGTAGTGATGGTGATAGTGGTGGTGATAGTGATGGTGATGGTAGTGGTAATGGTAATGGTGATGGTGGTAGTGATGCTGGTGGTGATAGTTATGGTGATAGTGATGGTGGTGATGGTGGTTGTGGCAGTGTTTCCTGGTGGTGGTGGTGGTGGTAGTAATGGTGGTGGTGGTGATGGTGATGGCGGTGGTGGTGATGGTAATGGTGGTGGTGATGGTGATGGTAGTGGTAATGGTGATGGTGATAGTGATGGTGATGGTGATGGTAGTGGTAATGGTAATGGTAATGGTGATGGTGATGGTGATGGTGATGGTAGTGGTAATGGTAATGGTGATGGTGATGGTGATGGTGATGGTAGTGGTAATGGTGATGGTGATAGTGATGGTGGTGGTGATAGTGATGGTGATGGCGGTGGTTGTGATGGTAATGGTGATGGTGATGGTGATGGTAGTGGTAATGGTAATGGTGATAGTGATGGTGATGGTAGTGGTAATGGTGATGGTGGTAGTGATGGTGGTGGTGATAGTGATGGTGATGGCGGTGGTGGTGATGGTGATGGTGGTGGTGTGTTGCCGATGGTAATGGTGGTGGTAGTGGTGATGGTGATGGTAAGAGTGGTTGTGGTGATGGTGTCGGTGGTGATGGTCGAGGTGGTGGTGGAAGTGATGTGGTCGTGGTGATGGTGGTGATGGTGATGGTGATGTCGTGGTTGTGATGATGGTGGTGGTGGGGATGGTAATGGTAGTGGTGGTGATGGAGGATGAGGTGACGGTGGTGGTGGTGGTGATGGTGGATATGGTGATGGTGGATGTGGTGATGGTGGTGGTGATGGTGGATGTGGTGGTGGTGATGGTGATGGTGATGGTGATGGTGGTACTTGAACCAGAAAGAAGGTATATGTGCGCCTGACACATCATATTCACTGCGAAACGGAATGTAACAAGAATACAAATCATGACATTGTACACAATTACTCTGACATTATATTTCACATCAATGTTTATATCTAACAGACGACATATTATTGGTCTTATGCAGCTACATACGAGGGGCGTTCAATAAGTTTTGAAACTTGGGCATTTGTGTTTACACAAATAATGTCAACTTGTGGCAAGTGTGACACTAGTCATAACATCAGGTTGACACGTGTCATAACAAGTCCCAGACACAACAATAAGTTAGAAGTGATGGCTTCATTCACCTGAGGGTGGTAACAATCATGGATTCTCTCAAACATGAACAACGCGCTGTAATAAAGTTCCTTACCAAGGAGGAATTCAAAGCAAAAGAAATCCATGATCGCATGTGTAGAGTGATGGGTAAGGATGCTCCTGACTATTCCACAGTTTTCCGTTGATTTCTACAGTTTGAAAGGGGTAGGGAGTCTATAGACGATGACCCAAGGTCAGACAGGCCTTCAGATGCCACCCAACCGGAAACCATTGCTGCTATAGAAAGAAGAATTTTGTCTGACCGACGATTGAAAGTATCTGAACTTTCTAGGGAATTCCAAATATCAGTTGGAACTGTTGTCACCATTATTCGTGAGCATCTTGGTATGTCCAAGGTATCTGCAAGATGGGTACCGTGAAACCTCAGAGCTCAAGATTGCAATCAGAGTCTGAAAGTTGTCGAGAACTCCTGGATCTCTATACTGCTGATGAAGTCGGATTTCTTTTTTGTGGTAGGTGATGATCCACCACTCGGACCCAGAAACTAAATTGGAATCCATGCAATGGAGGCACCCCAATTCTCAGCCTCCGAGGACGTTTCGCACACAACCATCGGCTGGCAAGGTTATGGCCACCTTATTTTGGGATGCAAGAGGCATATTATTGATTGATTACATGCCACCAAAAACTACAATCAATGGACAGTATTATGCTAATTTAATGAAAGAATTGCTAAAATCTATTCGCCAGAAACGCCGTGGGATGTTAACACGTTGTATTCTACTTTTGCATGACAACGCTCCGGTTCACAAGTCGAAAATTGCACAGACCGCCATATGTGAATGTGGATTCGAACAGTTAAATCACCCACCCTACAGCCCAGACTTAGCCCCCAGTGAATATTTCCTGTTCCGGCAAATGAAATATGCCCTAAGTGGAAGACGCTTCAAGGATGACGAGGACATAAAGGCTGCCACAGAGGCGTGGTTAGAGGGCCAATCTGCGGGTTTCAATGAAAGTGGTATTAAAAGCTTGAAGGACAAATGGAATAAGTGTATTGAGGGGAATGGGGATTATTTTGAAATATAAAAGTGGAAAAGATATTCTACGACTTGGTTTCATATTGAAGTTGCCAAATTTATTGAACGCCCCTCGTACTATAGTATTGCAATTGTATTTAACCGTATATGGCATGTTGGGGCCCTGTATTGCAGCCAGAGAAATATTTCACTTTTCTCCATCACTGCACTTCTAAGATGTAGTCTTATGTTATCTCAACGACGGCATTCCGGCAAATAATGTTGAGTTGTTTCCGGCGTATTGTGACTACATTGGTCACACCGAGGGTATTCCTCCTTATCAACAACCCCTGTGTCGGTGTTCAGTGGACAGTGACCAAGACGAAATCTAGTTAAAACGACTTCCTCTCTTAAGACGTAAAATTTTACTATTTTGTCTTCCTGCATATGTCTTCCAGTAGAACCATCATCCTACAAATATTGCCTTTGTAGAACCGACTTCACAATGGCATATTTGAAATCTCTTTGGTCTCATCCTTTAGCAAACCTTGCTTACCAAGACAAGATAATCTGTTGTTTTAGATCCCTGCAAACCGACATGAGCTGGACCACATTATCATATGAGATATGCTTAGTGTTTAAAAATGTGTCCAGTTTCAAAATTACGTATAATATATCATTTCTGGACCCAATAACTCCAGGATCAATAGACGAAACGGTGGAAATGAGGTCTTCATTGTCATATTTATCCACCCATGTCAATGCTTGTAGAATAGTAAAATAAATATTTGGGATAACACTATCTCGTACTTTGTTTGGTTGAGTCCCGTCCGGGATTCGAATCCACACCGCCAGAGTGATGCGCCTAATTACCAGCACACAAAGTCAGCGATCTAACCAACTCAGCCACCGAGGCTTCCATTAAATGAAAGTCCGACAACTGGTAGTCTACATCACGTACTTTGTGTACCACTCTGACAAGTGTAAATATATATACGGTATTACACAAAAACACATATACCTACACACACATACACACACATACATATACACGCGTATACATATATACGAGTGAAACATTTATATTTTATCTGTATACAATGGTAAAAGATATTAAATATATTAATTTAATATCACAGACATTTAAAAAGTGAATTTAAGTGGAGGGCGGTAAATAAAGACTATAACTAGGCTGTGATAACTACGTTGAATGCTATTGTATTACACCAAAATCAAAGTTATAACGCATATCAAAACTAATAGAAAATGAAATAAAGTATAACTAAGACTTTTTGTACTGAAACAACAATGTATTAAATGTACACGTCACACGTAAAACAAGATAATTTAGAAGCAGCTGGTTATAAATATAATTCTTGTTCAATTAAGATAAATCGAAAATCTGTGTGTTCCTACAAAAAATTGATGGACGAATTTAAAAATTGAGTTATTTTGTTCCTCGGATAGATTTTTGTTACCATAAAGATTTGTTTCTCAATTGGCCTGAGTCCCTATATTCCTAATGTTAATAATCAAAGATTGTCTTATTAAAGTATTTTTTTTACATTCAAGAAAATAGTGAAAAGCATTTTCGCATGGGGAACCGCAAGAGCAAGAAATAGTGTCTGACAAATAAACCCTAAATAAATCATCATTTAGATTGCTACATCTATGTCTAAGTCTTGTGTTTATAACAATAGTTACACGTTTTCCATAACTAAAATGATATGGAGATTTAATAATAATTGGACATTATTTTTGTTTTCAATTCAGCTACAGAGAAACTATTTTTAACTTTTTCATTTTAGGAATTCCATTGTTTTAAGGAATCTATAATATATGATTTCTGAAACGTACTTATTTTGGTAAAAGGTACAGTCATGTTCTGTTTGTTACGTAGGTTATTATTTGAAGCAGCTGATCTATTGTGGGGTAACAAATCATTTAGATAAAAGGGACATTCGTTCATTATTATTTTGTGCACTGTCATAAGGTTTTTCATTTTTCGTCACTCTTTTAGTGGTAGCCAGCCGGTTTCGAAATGTAAGCTTCATCTCGGGGAAATTTGGTCAAACCTAAAACAATTCTGGGGGCGTCAGGTTGTATTAATTCAGTAATGTAGAACTATTTAATGTAAGCAGTTTTGAGAAAGTTACTATAGTCATAGCTATAATTATAGCACCTTATAGCTAATGGAACAAAAAGACGCACCCGGAATGATTAAAAGTTCATGTACATATCTTCGGGAAGAGTTCCTAAACAGAAGCGGTAACTTATTTTTCCCTCTCACATACTAAACATGAAGCATCAATGATATATTCACCTTCAATTAATCAACTATTTCCCCATGTTCACATCATTGTCAACATTGTAATAAACTAAGCGGCAAAAGAAAGTATAGGTTGGCAATTTGTAATTTTCCTAAAAACAGCGATAAATAGTGGAAAGTGGGTATTGGGAATATGACTGCCCAGGAACAGGTACCACAAAACACCTCACCCGAACGCGCCGCCTTTGACGGCGCTTGTGCGGTGACAGAAAAATGGTGAAACAAGTTTCCCGCCTATGGCTTAAACTGCACGTGCACGTCAGCTGTATAAATGCGTTCGTCTGCAGGGTATAACCACACGTGATGAAAGCACACAAAATAAAGGCCACGACTGTCACAGGAGCAGAGAGAGGGAGCCATCGATATGGCCGAAATGGGGGCAACACAGGTCCAAATTGCCAGAAGGTTTGGTTGTACACCATTGACAGTAGCCAGGCTGATTCAACGGTACAGGCAGAACGGGAGGACACAGGGCAGGCCTAGAACCGGACGACCCCGAGTGACAACACCACTGGAAGACGGTCATATACGGCCCATTCACCTGCAAAACAGATTCGTAACGGCGACGGCGACGGCGACGGCGACGGCGACGGCAGCAACAGCGTCGGGACATCCCATTAGCCAACGTACAGTACTACGACGACTTCCTGCTGCTGGAATCCGAACGTATTGTCCTTTCCGAGGAATGGTACTGACTGCTCAACATCTGACGCCTGAGACTGCGATGGGCGAGGCAGGTTCGACGCTGGCAAGTGAGAAATTGGCGTCGAGTGCTGTTTACTGATGAAAGTCGGTTTAACTTGTTTCGAAATGACGGCAGAGTTTATCGACGCAGAGGGGAACGTTTGGCCCCGGCGTGCATTCGGTAGGTCCGTCCATTCGGCGGGGGAGGTGTCATGGTGTGGGGCGGTATTTGTGGAGATCAGAAGACTGACGTCATCGATGAGGCGGCGTATCACAGCATGCATTGAGGCAGCTGGAGGTCATACACGCTATTGAAGGCAACTGTGTCGACAATGAACTTATAGTGTGTCTGACAATTGTTTGGTGACATTTCAGACAACTTTTGAAAATGAAATTTCTTACCCCACCATTGTTTACCTTGAGCTTACATTACCTGCGATTGCACAATTTCATTCAAATTGTGGTTGATCAATCAGAAATACATCTCAGCCAGCTCAAAATCGGTCAAAGTAAGCGGTGCGTAACCAAGCGGTGAATTGACATTTCTAAAGCCTGGTTGGCTGTGGTCTGTTTCAGGTAATGTCCATGAGGTGACCGTCTGCCAGAACTATGTTTGCCAAGACATAACTGAGATTAATTGGCATGAAGATGTAATATAATATAATACAAAGGCATATTTTGAAATTATATTATTATTTCATTGTTATGGTAACATGAACACATTGTAAATGTTATGATAGCTTTAATGTCATTTAATGAACAAGCACCCTCAATGATTGTGTTACACGACTGGTGGGGAGTGGTCGTAGCAGCTCCAGTCGTTCACGGTATAATGTCGACTGGGAGAAAATTCAGAGGTGGACTCTTGGACATCAGTTCACTGGAATCATCTGTCCACTCCTCAGTCCGCAAACCTTTACAAGCAAAAGTAAAAGTCAGAATGTTGCAAATTAGTGATGGATTCATAACAGATACACTTGAGAAGTATTTCCATTGTACACATAATTGGATTGCAGAGTACTATTCTTACCTGCAATTTCTTCCCTATAAATTGTTGGAATGGGCTTGGCCCTTTTCCCGATTCCGTTTCTTCAGGCGTCGAAAAGATCCGTAGGTCTGATTGGTGGTTTTGTAGTCTTACAAACTTCACAGGAATGTCATTTTTAGGTATTTAATGTAGATGGACAATCCCGTCTATGCCATGTACAGGGCCAGCCAGTGTGTTTTTTCTTCTTGGTGTACTGATGACCAGCATGAACAGGCATTCGACCTCCAGTGGAAGTTGGTACAAACTCGACACGTACATTAGCATTAACCGTTTTGACTAATGACTTTTATAACCATACTTAATTCCCATTAATTATTGATAAGTACTCAATTTATTGAATAAAAGTGAACTGTACTGACAAAATATCAGAATAAAGTGAACTTTATTTACAAGACGACACTATCAAAATCAAAGATATAGACTCACCTTACAGTTCAAGACTATAGACTGTGAGATATAGGATAACACAGTGTAGGAACAGACTATAATCCCCCAGCCCCAATCCGGGACCTGAATTTCAATTTTGAACTGGATGAGAACACCCCATTGGCAAAGAGGGAACACATGGGAGGATACCGCTAAGACAGCGGCTAAAATTAGTTTTAGCCGTGACAGTCGAGCCACGAGATTGTGTCTAATTGTCCCTTATGCAGATGCTCAAAAAGTAAACTCTACACACTCTTATTAGGGAATCAGAATCATGTTGACAAGATTATTATTATTATTATTATTATTATTATTATTATTATTATTCGGTGAGACTTTATTGTAACGTTGAGTCGTTGACACTGATAAAACAGTTTCTATCCAGCTGTTCAATGTTTTAAATTACTGTAAATGTAGAGTATGTGTATTGCAGCTATATAAATCAGACAGGGAACTATGTATATGGAAGCTGTATGCACCAGACAGGGGAACTATATACCTTATATCTGTATACACACGATAGGGGAACAATGTACATTGTAACTGTATACATCACACAGGGGAACAATGTACATTCTAACTGTATACACCAGACAGGGAACTATGTACATTGTAGCTGTATACATCAGACAGAGGAACTATATACATGTACATTGTAACTGTATAAACCAGACAGGGGAACTATGTATATTGTAGCTGTATACATCAGACAGGGAACTAAATATATCATAGCTGCATGCACAAGACAGGGAACTATGTATATTGTTGCTGTATACACCAGACAGAGGGACTATGTAGATTGCACATGTATACATCAGACAGGGAACTATGTACATTGTATCTGTATACACCAGACAGGAAACTATGTACATTGTAGCTGTTAACATCAAACAGAGGAACAATGTACATGTAGCTGTATACACCAGACAGAGGAACTATATACAGGTACATTGTAGCTATATACACCAGACAGTGAACGATGTATATTGTAGCTGTTAACATCAAACAGAGGAACAATGTTCATGTGGCTGTATACACCAGACAGAGGAACTATATATATGTACATTGTAGCTATATACATCAAATAGAGGAACAATGTACATGTAGCTGTACCTTTATTGATTTAAGTTGCCAGGATGAAGTTGTGATCCGAAGGTGTCGCATTGGACACTATCATTATACTCATTCTTTTTTATTGAAGAGAGATGTATTCCTTCTCATAGTCCTCTGACTGTCAAGAATCTTTTATTGGAATGTGTGGATTCATCAAACTATATATGAATATCTATATCACTACTGTTTCTAACCACTTAATTTAAGCCGATTTGAAGGGAATTAAACTGTATGAGAAGATGTAGGTTTTAAGTTTTGAATGTCAGTTTGTACCGATTACTGCGATAGTGAACTGAAGGTTTAGTGCCCTTTGTCACCACTTTTAGTCGATGCTCTTTTGTATAAATTTCTAGCCGTGAATAGCTGCAATAGCTGATGCGGCTTAGAGCAATATTTACTCACTCACTCTTTTATTTATGTGGTCTCCGACATGTGCATTAAGTGAAAACAATTGAAAATGAAGTACTGAATTAATTGATAGGATGTCTATATCGAATTGTGGAAAACAGAGATCCCAAAGGTTTAAATTTTGTGCATAATTTATATCATAAAACTTAATTATTTAGTGTCATTGCAAAAGGTATTCCTTAGGTCTGATCTTTTCATTATGTTCGTAATCTAGGTCTCTGTTTCCATCATCTTGTTCCTTCATCATCAGACTTTCTCCTAGCCCTTTAGGCCTCTTGGAGTCCTCTTCTCTCTTCATCACATTAAACACATCACATCTGGTTGACAGCCATCCTCGTCGGAACACAAGCCTAGTGAACGCTGACACAAATATGATGGCCACGAAGTTGACTATCATCATCAGGGTCCTGATTGGGAACAATTGGCCATCAGTTTCTGTGTACCAAGGGAAATGAATAAGAGCTGGTATTCCCAGAAGGGTGTCCCCAGCAGCCACTCTCAGGAAGAGGCTGAGGGCGTAACCGGTGAGCGCGCCGTAGGTGTTGGTGAACCCGATCCAGAGAATGCAGGTGAGTTGGGGGAAGAGGATGACGTACATAAGGTCGGAACACAAGTAGAACAGTCCATAAACTGACTTCACCAGGATGGCAAGGACGCACGACAACGTACCAGTCACGAGAATGCCACCTCTCATCACCCACATCACTTCTCGGTCGCTGGCCTGAGAATGATATTCATTTATATTGTCAAGAAAACGAAATTGATATGTTTAAATGATTGAGTAACATTTAAAACGTTTTAACAATATTTCAGTAAACAATCCATAGGAGGTTTGTATTCGGTGACCACATTAAACTACAATCGTTTTCTCATAAGTTGTTTTAACAATCGTTCATAACTTCATTACCATGGTATTTCATATTCGGATTGACACAGTTCTGAAACTACCTGTGGGCGTAAGACATCTTTGTAGATATTCTTAGCAAAGATGGTTCCACTTGAGAGGACAGCAGAATCGGCAGATGACATAACAGCAGCAGCCACCACACCAAGTCCCAACACTCCAACCGGAAGTGGACACAGGTAGTTAAGCACCATGGGAAGGATAAAACTGTGGTATTCAGTAGGTATTGGGATATCGCCTGTGTAGGTTGTGGCATTCCAATCTGGGAAAAATAACATGAAGGCAATCGGTTACCAGTGTCAACATATCTGATATAGCTAATGGAAAGTAGGGTTGGAAAGGTTCAACGTTGAGAAATCATTTTCATTTTCATTTTATTTTTTCCAATTTCAAAAGTAAGACGTTTAATTTAAATATCATTCACATCCTGACCTGCTGCTGCCCCGACTATTCCGATGGCTGCTGGGGGTATGGCAAGAAGTAAGCTTGCAATCGAAGCCAGAATTGAACTTGTTCGGGCAACACTAGGCGTCTTGCAAGCCAACACTCTCTGGTAGAAAGCCTGCATGGAAAATGAAGGTCTGCATTACCAAAGAGATAGATATAAAGTATAAAAAAACTTATATTGTATATCATATATGATGTCAGGTTAAAAAGTAGCGGGAAAGGTATTTTACAGATGCATAGATAATGGAGACACAACAAGATAAGACTCGGTTGTTTGCAGGCCGCCGTCGTGTTAACAGTGGCGGGTGGTACCGGTAGGAGTTACCCTTTTTGCGAACACCTCATATCATTTTTACCACCACAGTAAACTACGGTTATAAAGAACTTAAAGGGACCACGAATTTGAGTTCGTAATAACCGTAGTTCGTTATAAGCATATATACAGCATATATACAACAAATGGCCGGGTCTAAAAAATAGGTTCGTAATATCGGCATGTTCGTTATTAACGTGTTCGATATAAAGGTAGTTTGCTGTATTTTGTCTGTTACTCCGAATGGAATCTGACGAAACTGGTTATTCTCTGGCATTGACGTTATATGTTATAATGTATTAGGAAAGAGCAAGTGGGATAAATACCTGCCAAGATAGACCTCCAAAGATGAGCTGACAACAGAGATCTGCATATAAACCAACCATGTTTGTGGGCAGTCCACCCACCCACGTGTCCTGTACTCGAGTGAGGTCCACAGATGGATGGAAGAAGGCAAACGGGCATGCCACGACCTGAAAAAGAAACAGCATCCTAAAAATACAGTTTGTGAATCGTTTGTAAACACTAAGTCTGACAAAATGCTTATCAGATACAAGTGAAAGCAAGTGGGTGAAACCAAATGAAGAAAGTTGTTGGCGACAGATGTGGTGATAGAACCATCTGATATTTTCAAAAAGTGGATACATCAATGACGTTAATAATACACCCTTGTGTGATAAAGTGGCATTTAATAAAGTATGTTAAAAAATTTAAATCCATTAATATTCAAGTCAGGAAGGAACTGTACGTTCATACTTTAGTGATATGGCTTCCGGCCATATACAGCCCAGACTGACGGTGAGGGTCAAGAATGTTTTGCATCAACTTTACCACCTTATCCTACTGTGAACCCGTTCACTGAACAACTGTACCATTTAGCGTGGGACATAGACTAAATAAAAGTGACAAAAACATTTCCAAAATCATTAACATATGTATTTTCAGAAAAAAGCTCTGCTAAAAGCAAGGTCGATGGTATGATTCCGACTTTTCCATGAGCATGAACATAAACCGTGTTTACGAATCGCTATCAAACAGTGATGATACCAGGTGATCGTGACAAGGTGAGAGTAACATGTCTCATCTATGGCACCCGTCACAAACACACGCAAAAGCAAATCAATAGGCCCCTGAAAAACACGGGTACAAATCAAAATAAGGAAATGCATCAGACAATTTTTGTCATCCATGTACTCCAGTCATTCCAGCACAATATATATTCAACCAACCACAAGTTGCAATGGAACTGATTTACACGCAGAATCCATCACTCCATATCATATAAAAAGTCTACCAAAATCGGAGTGGTGGAATACTGTCAAATGTGACCACAAAGGTCAGGGGGTCACGGTGACTGTGAAGCACTTATGTGAGATTATGATTCTTTCAGTTTTTGTCTAAATTGTGTCATGGTGCAAATCAAATGAAACTTCTCTCCATAAGTTGTTGTTTTTTTAATATATAATTTATCAATGTAAGATATATACATCTTACAAAAACAACATCATGATTAGTCTCAGAAAAGTACTTACTTTTAAGTTTAATTAATAATGAGCGATATTTTTAAATATATTTTATAAAATTGTAAAGTAATGTATTTGCGTTGACTTTAGAAAGTTGACATTTCATCTCATGTTTAAATCTAAACAAGCTGTACCTTTATGAAATACAACATCCAATTTAGTTTCTAGTTATTGTAAGTGCTTTATGATAAGCAAATGATGTATAAGTGGACTGCAGTTATTGAAGTTGCTGACTGCGGCGTTGAACAACAACCAACCAACCCACCACTTTCCTCTCCATTATACCGTCATTACCACGAGTAAGTTCAAGTGTTTCGATCCTGCACAGCAAATCAGGGTAAATCATATTGATAAAGTTCCACTTTAACTTGTACAAAAGCCATTCTGATTTGCATCTGTGTTGGTCTAATGCCGTTCATCACTGAGATCAGGAATCTGGACATTAAAGCCAGCACATCCATGACATCCACCACACAAATGTTTCTTAAAGCTACGTCGCTAGGAGTTACACATGTTTAATTTCCAGTTTAATTTGATGATGTTAATCAATTCCTCTGGTGCTGGTGGCAAATCTGTCTGTAGAGGCCGTTTTCACTTTCCATTCTAGGGCTTGGCGGTTAACCCGCAAACTGTGATTGCAGCTGGAGTCGGGGGTAGCCTCTGGGGATGGATATGGACAAGGCTTAAGGTAACCTTCACACAAAAATGCCAATGTCTCAAAATATTCACCGTTTAACAGACACACGATTGCGTCAAATTTGGAAAAGACCTCCACATGGCTACCATAAAGCATTCTGAAAGCTTTACCAAGACCCTGAATGTTGTAACCCTGATCAAACAACCTCTGAGCAAGAGTCATATGGCGTTCTTTGAAATCATGGTAACAAAAGCATGCTCGGTTGTACCTCAAAAGTTGTGAAATGTTTACTCTAAAGGCTGGTGTTGCTGCAAAATTGTTCTACATGAAGGGAATGAAGCATAAATCATTGGATGGGAATTGGCTAGTTGACCGTTACTGAACGATATCAGATCATCGATATACTTGAAATTTATGTTGACAAAATTCCCTTGTTTTGAGAAATTGCAATTCGTGTGTATAAAGAAATTTAAAAGAAGGGGGCATGACTGTTTTTTATAAGGACGTCTACTCTTGCCTAAATGTATTATCCCCAAATATCACCTTTTGTTTTCTCAATAATCTTCAGATGACATTTGCTTTCATTTTCGAATAATTGCCCTGAACCATTGGAGAGAAAGATGTGACCATATCACAAACCAATCATACTTGGTACAGGTGACCATCACTCTTTCATGAGCCACACATGTTCCCCAGAATTATCCGATTTGGACCATTCGTGGCTCTTTATATATAATATCCTTACCAGTCCCACGCAAAGACAAATGAGCTGGATGACATCAGTGTAGGCCACAGAGTACAGCCCTCCTATGAAGGTGTAGAATACGGCCACACAAGTGGAAACGATGATAGACAGGACAGGATCTAAGTCCAAAATGATAGACGTTGTGGATCCTGTAACGATACTTTGTTGTATTAAACCATTCTTTGGACACATTAAAACACATCCTTTTCTGGTCAGTTATGTTATTTGCGATCATTGTTGATGGTATTATAGTGGCTAGGTGAGTTTATTTTAACGCCGCTTTGAACTGTATTCCAGTTATATCACGGCGGGTCAGCTTTATGTTGGAGGTAAGCTCGAAGCGATGCAGGTGTCTGACGTTTACCACTTTGGTGAAACCCACGAGTATGGGTAGCGTGCCCAAGTGGTGCAACTGTGAATTGTACAGCGAATTGCGGCGCCTTGGGCGATTTGTCAACCCATGCGTGATATAAGAGGTGAGGTGAAATGGGTTTTGACCTCGCGTTCAAGATTATTGCACTTACATGTATATAGCGACGTGCATTCACGTGTGTATAAAGTCCGATTTTATAGTGCTAGCCCACCGCGATACCATGCCGCTGTTTAACATGAATACCCCGCTCAGACACAGTATACTGACTCCGAGCCGACCAGTCCTTGTTTTAGCCCCTTAATGCCGAAGGTCAGGCAGAGTAACAACAAGTTCCATATTTTAACGTCATTTGGCATGACGCGGACGGGGATCGAACCCCTGACCTTCTGCTCTCGGGTAGACGCCCTATCCACCAAACCACGCAGGCAGTTCCATGGTATAAGTAAGTTATTATATGTCAAATAGAAATATAAGGATTTTAGCAACCCAATGTCATATCAAGGTTTCTTTGAATTCACATATCCAACAAGTTACCTAGGGCTGACAAGATTGCGGCTGTCCAGAAGACATCTCCCATCAGCTGCGGGAAGAAGAGAAGACTTCCGGCACGATCTCCCAACTTTGCCTGGATGGGGTCGAACATGGTGACATATCCTGCTCTCCTCATCTTAGGCGCGTAAAACACTCCAGCTGAAGTTAGACACATGTTATTAGCATCAGTTGATATATCTTGTTTACTTACTTGTAAATGTGAAGTTTTATCTGCATGCATCATTTGA